AAAATCAATACCTTCCTCCTGACAATATCCTTTAGCCACAAGACGAGCTTTGTTCCTAACAATGAGTCCATCTTCACTCATTTTGTTTCTAAAAACCCATTTAGTTCCAATGACGTTTTGATGTGATGGTCTAGGTACTAGTTCCCATACTTCATTTCGTTCAAACTGATGAAGTTCTTCTTGCATGGCTATTACCCAGTCAGGATCACATAAAGCTTCATCTACAGATTTTGGCTCTATTTGGGATAGGAAGCATGCCATCATACTTTCGTGTAATGACGCTCTTGTTCTCACACCTTCTTGAATATCTCCAATAACTTGATCTGGTGGATGATCTTTTAACCATCTAAGATCTGGCTCAAAGACATCTTGAAAATGCTGAGTATCCATCTCTGGGATATAAGGCAGGTCTATGTAGATCATTGGTTCAGATGGAGCGTTGTTAGAAGGATTGACCGGCTGATTTCCATTTGCTTGTTGAGATGACATCTCGGGTTCTGGTACTTTCGGCTGATACTTCATGTAAGACGAAAGTAAGTCTTCTTCGTCTGAGATGTCTTCATCTACGGATTTCTGAGCATTTTGAGCTGGGATATCAGGTATCTTGTATCCAGAAGGATTTTTCTCAGATTGTTCATCAAATTTGACGTGGATGGATTCTTCGATAACCATTGTTCACTTGTTCAGAACTCTGAATGCTTTGCTTGTGGATGAATATCCCATGAATAATCCTTCGTCAGCTCTTTCGTCAAATGCTTTAAGATAGCTTTTGCCATTGTTGTGAATAAAACACCTGCAACCAAAAACATGAAAATATCCAATATTTGGAGTCTTACCTTTCCATAGCTCATATGGTGTTTTGTTGTGAGACTTGTTGATTAAGGATCTGTTCTGTGTATAGCATGCGGTGTTTATGGCTTCAGCCCAAAATCTCTTTGGTAGACCTGAGTGAGAAATCATTGTTCGTGCTGCTTCCTTTAGAGTTCTATTTCTCCTTTCGGCTACTCCATTTTGCTGAGGAGTTCGTGCTGCCGAGAGTTGATGAAATATTCCATTTTGAGCACAGAAATCCTTTATCACTTTGTTCACAAATTCGGTTCCTTGATCCGATCTGATTCTTATTATTTTGACTTCCTTCTCTGTTTGAAGTTGCTTCAAAAGATTTGGCAGAGCCGTTTCTGTTTCATTCTTCTTTTTCAAGAAAAGAACCCATGTATATCTTGAAAAGTCATCTACTACCACAAGGGTGTACTTTCTTCCGCTTATACTTGCTGGATCTATTGGTCCAAAAAGATCCATGTGCAGAAGGCTTAGAGATCGGGAACTTGTGTCTACATCTTTTGACTTAAAGGACGACTTTAGCTGTTTTCCCTTTTGACAGGCATCGCATATCCTATCTTTCGTGTATGATGTTTCGGGTAAGCCTCTTACAAGATTCCTTTTTGCAAGCTTGTTTATTGTCTTCATGTTCAAGTGGCTTAGCTTGTTGTGCCATACTTGGTTGAGATCTGCATTACTCTTTGCTACAAGACAAATATTAGTATTAGAAGAATTTAATGAAATTACATACATGTTCTTCTTTCGTTGGCCTGTAAGTGCTGTCCTGCTATCCTTCGTGTTTATGATTTTGCACTCTTCTTTAAAGAATTCTACTTTGTATCCTTTGTCGCAGAACTGACTTGTGCTTAGAAGATTGAATTTAAGTCCTTCTACATAAGAGACATCTTGTATGATTATTCATTTCTTGATGATATCTCCTTTTCCTCGAGTTTGGCCACTTGTTTCTCCTCCAAAGATAACTTTGGGTCCATTTATTTCTATGAAATTGCTCAAAATTGTTTTGTCACCAGTCATATGTCTTGAGCATCCACTGTCGACATACCATATGACCTGTTTCTCCTGCATCAAAGATTATGCATTTTTAGGTACCCACTTAGTTTCGGGTCCTTGGGGGTTAGCAGTCAATTTTGGAACCCACATTAACCTAGAGTGCACATGACTCATCCTTGGTCCTCTGTATCCGTTGGAGGTGCGATAATCGTAATAAATACTGGCAAAGACTTTGTTCTTATACTTCCTTTGTTGCTCTCTTGGTGGAAGATTTTCATAATACCAACGATAATTGGTTTGTTTACGTCGATGTGTTACCTCAAGAGCTTTCCTCGAGAGAAGTTCCGAGTAATCAAACCAATCTTCTTCTGAAGGCCCAGTCCTTCCATTGCCATACCCAGATCTTCTGAGGATCCTTTCGGGTTGTTCGTTCTTTGAGATTCCCTGAGCAGAACTCTTTGGACGATATTGCCTCTGGTTAACGTTTGTCTTTTTATAAGATCGAGAATTCCAGTTAGGCTGACTCAATTTTTGGTGTGGACTTTTTCCACTGCCATTTGGTCCATTCCTTTTGACATATGTTTGTCTAGGATTGCCTTTACTAGGTTTTCTCTTTCCTGTTTCCACAATTTGTTGTACAGCCTTTCCTTTCGGTTGGCTTGTTGATTGTGGTGCTGTGACATTGTTATGTACCATCATAGGCTCGGGCAGCTGGGTTGGTCCTTGAACAAATATGGTTGCAAGATTCTCGTGTGAGTATGCATTCGTGGATTTGTTCGTTTCGACTTGTGAAGAGGAGCTGGAGTTAAAACCAATTCCGGTTTTCTCTCCGGGCAGTCTGGATTCGTTTAACATTCTGTCCATTAAGTTGGATGAATTGTTAAACTTGTCCAACACTTCAAGCAATTCTTGCTCTCTCTTTTCTTTTGCTGTGCACTGCTCCTTAATAGCGAGAACATCTTTCTCGAGCTGCTCCTTAGCAATGATCAGCATATTGTTCTCAATGCGAACTTGCTCTAATTCATTATAGCTAGTCATGAGCCGAGAGTTCTCCTCTTTTAGCTTGGAGTAAGTGCTATTTATCAACTTGAACCTCCTCATCATTTCAGTGACAGATTCACTGGAGGTTTGACTCGCTAAAGAACTTGATTCGGCTGAATAACAAGAAGAAGAGTGAGAGTTTACCTCTTCTTCATCTGCCATGAGGCATAGTTCCTCTGATTCTTGGCTGTAGAGGCATAGTAGTCCTTTCTCCTCATCACTGCTTTCGTCTTCTGAGCTTGAGCTTGAAGTACTACTTTCGGGTATAGCTTTTTCAGTGTTTTCGGCAACCACCATTGCTTTTCTTCTTCCCTCACTCCTGGAGTTTGATGATTCTGGTTTATCACTTCTCTTGTGCTTTTCTCCAGATTCCCTTGAGGGGTTTGTGATATCGTTGCCATCTTGATATTTGCTAACCATTGGATAAGGACAGTTCGCTTTGAAGTGCCCTGGCTTTCGGCAGTTGTAGCACAACAGTTGTGAATCAGTGGTTTCGGTCTTTGAAGTCTGAGGGAAGCTTTCATGCCTCTTGTTCTTCCGAGTTATACTGCTCTTTTAGCTTAGGTATGATTTGTGGAGGATCTGGTCCTTGAGCAGCAGCCTGTGCATTTGCCATCATCACTGTGATAGGTCCAGTAGTTATGACGTCCCACATTTCATCATGAATAGAGCACAGAAGAGCCTGCATTCTCAATTTCCAGTCATCAAACTTGGCAAGACTAAAAGCAAGCTGTTTAGAGCGATGTTGTGCATGTTCCTTTTCCATTTTTTAAAAAAAAAACGTGCAACGAAGAAGATCCAAAAAAAAATAAAATTCAAGGGTAGATCTACCAGGCAGTAAATGCAAGAAGCCTTTACCGTTCAAGGTATTCGGCTCTGATACCACTTGTTGGTCCCGATAGATTGTGTGGTGAGTCTAGAGGGGGGGGGGGGGGGTCAAAAGAAAAACCCTGACAACACTTTTGAGTGATATAAGCACAGCGGAAAGATTATAAGGTGAGGGCTGCACGAGTTTGATAAAAAGTTAAGCGGAGTAATGAAAAAGATGATATGCAAGCAGTAAAATAAAGCAGTAAGTAAAGAGAAGAGTGAGACGAGATTTTATAGTGGTTCGGCCAAATGTTGCCTACTTCCACTCTTCTTCCACAACTGCTGGAAGGATTGCACTATCACTCTTTAGTACAATTACACAAAGACTTCCTTGATCACTAAGCCGGACAGCCTTTGAAGGTTTTTCAACTCCGAGAGTTTACTCCGCCTCTATCAACTTCTTCTTCTAAGTTGAGGTTGGTAAGAAAGTATTTCTTGATTCCTCCAACTGTGAAGTCTTGATGGTGTGGGATGATTGCTTCAAGAGTGCAAGACTTCTTTCAAGATGTAGGGCAGTGATGGATGATCTACTTCAAATGCCTTAACACCTTAAGTAACTGGTTCGCAAAAAGCTTTGAGATTGTTAACTTTTCAAGGGCTTTTTGCAAGAGAGTGAGTAGAGTGATAATGAACCAGCACCTTCTTAGTTGATGAAGGTTGGTTTATATAGGTGATGAAAATTCATCCGTTGGAGGGAGATGAATTTTTCGAACCTTTTATCCGTTGGACAAGGACCATGGAGCCTCGTGCATTTAATGCTCCATTAATGGGTTTGTACTGTGTAGCCGTTGAAGGTATGGAAGACTTGATGGCTTTTGTCTTTTAGCTCCAAGATAGTACAGCTTCATTAAATGCTCTTTGGAGAGCGTGTCCCATGAGTTGAGGTCCTTATTGTCCTAGGATGTTGTCAAATCAGACAGATAGAACATTCTTCTTGTTGATGAGAAGAAGAATACTTGTTGGGATGGTCTTGAAAAGAACTGTCTTCTTAATGACAACTCCTTCTTTCGTTGCTGTGGAGTCTTCTTTCGTCTTGATCAGCCTATCTTCTATTCATAACTCTTTTCGTGTGTTTGTTCTAGCTTAACACGAATTACATATGAGTTATGGCAACTTTCGTCTAGAACGAAAGTAGCGATACAAGAAAAACGAAAGAGTTAGGGGTCTACTTTCTTCATTACATTGGTATCATCAAAATCCTAATACAAGGTTCCTAACACAACCTTTAATTATTTATCATAACCACTTGAAACATTAAATCACTAATTAAAGTGGTATATTTATTGGAAGAGTAATTTGAGATGTTTATATTGCATATAGTTGAGCGTTAACTAGAGCTGAAACAAGAGCTTGACATTGTTAGGCGCAACATAAGTGGTTCCTTCCCATAGTTCTGTAGCGGAAATCCAATTGGTCTTCTCAGAGGCGTGAGCGTAGTCGAAAAACAGATAGTCTTCAACGTTGGAGCATAATTCGTACTCTTTTATTTGCCCTTTTCCTCCACAGCTCGGGAATCCCCTAAATGGACCACTCCCACAGCATGCTGTTTTCGTATCTTTGAAACCTTATAACATACCCAAAAACAATAATATTGGTGTGGGAATATCAATACTCGGTGATATATCATTATGATATATAATTATTTACTGAAATATTTTTTTTTCTACTTATTTACTGCAATATAATTGTTAGAATTAATACCAAATTTGGTTCCTTGACTATTAGAATTTTTATCACTTTGGTACTCGACTTTCAAACGTGTTCATTTCATTCCTAACTATGCAATTTTTACCTAAAATAGTCCTTTGTCCAAACCAAAATAGTTCTTTTTAGGACCATTTTAGCTAAC